AGATCAAATTGCCCTTTCCCCCGCATCCCGTCGCCGAACTGCGCCACGAAGCGTTTAAAGCTTAATACGCAGTTTTTTAGCATAAGAGCAACCTGCCTGGTTGAAAGCATAAAAAAGATCTAGTTAATAAAAATTCAAAAAATTCTTAAGTCCTGGAAAAGAATTCGGCTCAAAAATGTCCCCAGGGGTTTGATGCCAGACTGCCAAAAAATTGTCCGCCATCTAATGTGACTAATGTGCGCATGCATCACCAGCTTGTACAAAACCATTTCCAAACGGAATTTGCCGACAAAAACATCAAGGGATTCAAAAGTCAACAAACTGTATGGAAACTAGCGTACAGCGTCGAAAAATTTTATATTTACAAAAGAAGTAGCATAATATAGCAGGCGTCCAAATTTTCGTCCTTGAAGACCCTTGCACGGCAACACGCCCACAGGAAGTTGGCGAGTGTGACACAGTGAGTGGGAGAGAATGTGTCATTGGCACAGTAATGTTATCAGAGGAAGAAACTTTGCTATCCCAAAATAATATAAATTTGGGGCTGCCGCATGGCTATAAAAGTGGAGTTTTCTAGCTCTTCAGGGGTCTCGGGAAGTTTCATCTTCCTTCACCATGAATGCGGTCAGCTGCTTATTGCAATACGGTAGGGCAATACAGTAATCTGGAACATTCAGGTTTTTGAACATTGTTTTAGTGATCGTCCTTCTCATATTGCATTCTACTGAAGTGTATGGGTCTGGACAGAATCGATCTAGTGAAAAAACTAACCCTTCGACGAGTTCCACCGACGTTGCAACCGGAAAAACCAGTCCCGAGGATGGATACATCCAGTCCAGCTCCAGGTAGGAATGGCCTTTGCAGCGCTATATGAAAGCTATCTGTCTAGTTTTCAGAGTCAACAACGAAATCTTCCGCATTAACTACTATGACAGCTGGTTTTTCGCTTCTGATTCCATTTATGCTATCAGAAGCTCGATTTTTGATTTGAAGAGCACAGTTGCTAAAAAGTAAGTGATTGAAGTAGCAATGCATAGTGCAGTATTGGTACGCTCCTTGATGGTCAGGGAATTCGGCTATTCCGTGAGGATTCAAAATCCTGATCTGCTTATGTTTCATTTCAATAAAGCATTTGGAAGAACTTCTACAAACGCCTGAGAGCTGATACTTCAAAGAAAATTCCGATTGCTGCCTTCCATTGTAATTTTTTAATTTGTAGCTAATGGTAAGGAGCTACCCTGAACTCGCGCGCTTCTATCAGAAACACCGAGCTCCATTGCCATTCACGAGTACGAGCTAGTGGTCGGAAACTGATTATGCTGCAGAGTAGATACTAAAGGAGAAAAAAAAAACAAAACCAAACGCGTCGAAAATCCGGGCCCTGAGTAAGCTCGCGTAGGTTCCTCTGTTGTCGTTGATAATTGAGGAGTTATTCGGGCCGAATCAAACCAGGAGGCCCATTGAGACGCCTTCGATGCCACAGATGCGATGCGATACTATGGCGAAATATTGCGGTTGTGCACATAAAGTATACTATTCGTTTTTTTTTTAACCGGAAATTTCGTTCCAAAGATGAAATGTTTTGCTAGCAAGCTTGATATCATCTGATAGGAAACTTCACGTAGTTTTAGAATATCAAAACGGCTTCGGTTGAGGGAATAATTTTTGTGGATTTTTTAGTCGTTGAAGTTGAAAGCGAAGTCGGCGAAAAAATTAGAAGTTGAAAGCGAAGTCGGCGAAAATTAGCACCTTCGACAACTGCCTCTATTTACGTATAGTCGAAGTGCTAAAATCGCTTAAGCTGCTCCATACATTTGGAAAAGGTCGAGCTAGAAGTTCCAGCAAGGGAATCTCACTAGGACGCTTTGGAACGAATTTCAAGAATTTTGAAGTTACCAACCTTCACCTCGCCGATATTGGGCAGCTCACGTCTGTTCCACCTGAAATTTTATGCTAATATTTGAATGTTTCGCTGATATGTTTGCATGTTCTGATAGCAAATTTCGTGCTCTAATAACACTGCTGGTGTTTGGATTTCTGTAAGTCGCGGTTATCATTACTAGAACATCGAAGTCGTTGAGAACTAGCGTTCCCGTTCTCCACGAATTTTATGCTAACATTTGAATGTTTCGCTAATGTGTTCTATATGTTCTGATAGCCAATTTCGTGCTCTATAACACTGCGTTGCAGTTATTTTGAAAATCCGTTTGATGAACCTTGTTTTTCAGGTGGATAATATGGAATGTCAGGTCGATAAGCATCAGCACTTCAGACATCTCCTCCTTTTCGCATTCAACAGAGGTATCAGAGCTGCTGATGCTGCTGCGGGGAAATTCGCGAAGTGTACGGAGAAGATGCCCTCTCTCTCAAAACAGCCCAAAATTGGTTCAGACGCTTCAAGAATGGTACTGATACCTCTGCTGAATGCGAAAAGGAGGAGATGTCTGAAGTGCTGATGCTTATCGAGACCTGACATTCCATATTATCCACCTGAAAACAAGGTTCATCAAACGGATTTTCAAAATAACTGCAACGCAGTGTTATAGAGCACGAAATTGGCTATCAGAACATATAGAACACATTAGCGAAACATTCAAATGTTAGCATAAAATTCGTGGAGAACGGGAACGCTAGTTTCAACGACTTCGCGTTCCGTAAATGATAACCTGAAAATTAACAAACAAACACCTCTGGAGAACAGATTTCTATAGCAGTGTTATAGAGCACGAAATTTGCTATCAGAACATGCAAAACATATCAGCGAAACATTCAAATATTAGCATAAAATTTCAGGTGGAACAGACGTGAGCTGCCCAATATCGGCGAGGTGAAGGTTGGTAACTTCAAAATTCTTGAAATTCGTTTCCAAAGCGTCCTAGTGAGATTCCCTTTGGCTGGAACTCTTCTAGCTCGACCTTTTCCAAATGTATGGAGCAGCTTAAGCGATTTTAGCACTTCGACTATACGTAAATAGAGGCAGTTGTCGAAGGTGCTAATTTTCGCCGACTTCGCTTTCAACTTCAACGACTAAAAAATCCACAAAAATTATTCCCTCAACCGAAGCCGTTTTGATATTCCACTAAAACTACGTGAAGTTTCCTATCAGATGATATCAAGCTTGCTAGCAAAACATTTCATCTTTGGAACGAAATTTCCGGTTTGAAAAAAACGAAAGTACTTATGTGCCAACCCAATACTTCGACAAATACTGCCGAAACTGAAGAATATTTGGTTTGTCCAGAATGTACAACTGATTCACTTTCGGTTCATATCTGAAGACGACATGGGGCGTGGCTGCGAGAGGGGCGAAGGTTCAGACCAAAGAGAGGCATAGACGCACGCAGAAGAGAGGAGAGTAGCACGGGATTACGCCACCTCCGCCAGGACACCTATTTTCGTACGACGAGCGGCGGAGATAGGAGTCGCATTTGATTGGCAGGATAAGGGGGAGGTTGCATGGGCT